TTTAATTATCTCTTACTAATGGTTTCTGTCTTCTCCTAGCGTATATGATATCTTGTATGAAGTTCCAAACATGGAACAAAATCATGGAAAATTCAAGAGAACAAAGATATAGTTGAAGTCTTAGGAAGTTTCTTTGGTTTTAGTCCATATCTATAGAGATTTATTCGATAGAATTTATGTACAATTATTAAACTTAGATATTTTTTTTTGAATCAAACGATATTTTCAAAAGATGTCGCATAAACTCATTGACATAGTAACCATTTTTATTTGTAACGAATCAGTCGTAAAGATGATGTCACTCAAAAACATCAAAGCAAAGCAAGCCGTCACCTAAAACTTGCACCACTTTCCGTCGTACATCGTCATGAATATTTTCATCATTTTTTTCTAACTTCCTTCCATTCTCGATTATTCTAGAACATTCTAGATAATACCAGAAAATCTCGTGTAACATTATAAAAGACGTACGTGAAACCATTTTTCTTCATCTCAACAATTATTCAAACTTAGTTAAATTTTTATTAGACAAAAATGGCTACAGCTATTGGTATTGATTTAGGTACAACCTATTCAGTAAGTTCTTCTATTTATTTTTGTTTATATATTAAAATTATTGTTTTGTTTTTCTAGTGTGTTGGTATTTTTCAACACGGAAAAGTAGAAATTATTGCAAACGATCAAGGAAATCGAACAACACCATCATATGTTGCATTTACCGATAGTGAACGTTTAATTGGTGACGCAGCTAAAAATCAAGGAGCAATTAATCCAAATAATACAATCTTTGATGCTAAACGACTTATTGGTCGTAAATTTGATGATGCCACTGTACAATCCGATATGAAACATTGGCCATTTAAAGTTATTAACGATAATAGTAAACCAAGAATTCAAGTTGAATATAAAAATGAAACAAAATCATTTACACCTGAGGAAATTTCATCAATGGTATTAATAAAAATGAAAGAAACAGCTGAAGCTTATCTTGGTAAAAAAATTTCAAAAGCTGTTGTTACCGTTCCAGCTTATTTTAATGATGCTCAAAGAAAAGCAACAAAAGATGCTGGTATGATTGCTGGTCTTGATGTTCTACGTATTATTAATGAACCAACAGCAGCAGCCATTGCTTATGGTTTAGATAAACAAATTCAAACGGAAAAAAATGTTCTTATATTTGATTTGGGTGGTGGTACATTTGATGTGTCCGTATTAGTTATTGATCAAGGTATATTTGAGGTTAAATCAACAGCTGGTGATACACATTTAGGTGGCGAAGATTTTGATAATCGAATGGTTACACATTTTGTTGAAGAATTTAAACGAAAAGCTGGTAAAGATATATCAAAAAATAATCGTGCACTTCGTCGATTACGTACTGCATGTGAACGAGCAAAAGTAAGTTTGAATTTCATTTAATTTATTTTGTATTTTTTACTTTCTTTTATTAGCGTACATTATCAACACAATCACAAGCATCAATTGAAATTGATTCTCTTCATGAAGGTGTTGATTTTAATTCATCAATAACACGTGCTCGATTTGAAGAATTATGTAGCGATCTTTTTCGTTCAACACTTGAACCAGTTGAAAAAGCTTTACGTGACGCTAAAATGGATAAATCAAGTATTCATGAAATTGTACTTGTTGGTGGTTCAATTCGTATTCCAAAAATACAAAAATTACTTCAAGACTTTTTCAATGGAAAAGAATTAAATCGATCAATTAATCCCGATGAAGCTGTTGCTTATGGTGCTGCCGTTCAAGCAGCTATTTTAACCGGTGATAAATCAGATGAAGTTAAAGATGTACTTTTACTTGATGTTGCACCGCTTTCATTGGGTATTGAAACAGCTGGTGGTGTCATGACAGCCTTAATTAAACGTAATACAACTGTTCCAACAAAACAAACACAAACATTTACAACCTATTCAGATAATCAACCTGGTGTTGATATTAAGGTCTATGAAGGTGAACGTTCAATGACACGAGATAATCATTTATTAGGTAATTTTGAACTTTCTGGTATTCCACCCGCTCCACGTGGTGTACCACAAATTGAAGTTACATTTGATGTTGATGCTAATGGTATCTTAAATGTATCTGCTATTGAGAAATCAAGTGGGCGAGAAAAGAAAATAACAATCAGTAATAAAGAACGATTATCAAATACTGATATCGAAAAAATGATTGCTGATGCTGAAAAATTTAAACAAGAAGATGAAAAACAACGTGAACGTATAACAGCAAGAAATTCACTTGAATCCTATTGTTTTAATATCAAAACAAGTGTTAATGATGAACAAATTTCATCAAAATTATCAGCTGATGATAAAACAAAATTAAATGACATAACTCAATCAGCAATTCAATGGATGGATTCAAATCAATTAGCTGAAAAAGAAGAATACGAACATAAACTTAAAGAAGTCGAACAAGTTTGTTCACCAATCATGACTAAACTTCATTGTAAGTTATTTACTTTTGATTAAACAAATATTTAAATTAATTGCTTTTTTTCTATTATTTTAGCAGGTCAGAGTGGTGGTATGCCAAATGGTAATACTCAGTCAAACTCAAATAGTAAAGGACCAACTATCGAAGAAGTTGATTAAGAAATGATATTAGTTCAATTTTTAATTTCGTTTTATTTATTTTTTTAAATGAATAATGAAAAAAAAAATATTTTTCATAAGAAAATAAAATATTTTTGAATTACGAAGATTAATATCTGTTTTATTGATAAAGAAAAAAAGTCTAACGGAGAGCTACTTTTATTTTCTTAACACTGCAGTCACATTCGATAGAGAATTTTTGTTATGGGCACACGACTGGTTGTTACTCAGTTGTACAAATGCGATCTCCTATTATTTTTTGCAGATATCTAACGATTTGTGCATACAAAATGTTTACGATCAGTAAATACAGAGTTCGGTGGTCTATACTTTATAGCTTCGGGTGTTATTATTCAGAATGAATTTCTATAAAATGCATACTCAACAGTTAGAGGTGCTCGGACGAAGAATTTTATGCTTAACAAAACAATATAACCTTTAAATTGAATGACGAAAGTATTTCTGCCAAGAGGAAAGAGCGGAATCCGGATTCCCGATTCCGCTCTTTCTCCCTTGATTTCTACTCGAAAGATAGACAGATGTAGAATTTTACAGAGCATATCTCAAATCGCCATTCATTAGAAATATAAATTCCACAGTTTTGTAGAGCGAAAAATTCTCTATCGAATGTGCATTGAATAGAGTCTTTGATCTTTAAAAGAAAATACCCAGTTTTTTTTGACTGTAGAATAACAAATGTTTATGATGCGGAATATATCGATTATGAAAACTTTTATTCGTCGTCATCATATTTATATTGATCATTATGATCTATCCTCTACGGGAATATCTTTAAATGAATATCATCAACGACGTCATTCATTAATTAATCTTATTCGAAATTATATAAAAACTGAACAAAAACAATCTTCATATAATTTTACAATATGTCTTCCTTCGTCTACACGTTTATTTATGGGTCCTGATGTTGCCTATTTTCCATTTAAACAACAATCAGATTTTTATTATTTAACTGGTTGTATGCAACCTGATGCTCTATTATTGCTCAATGGTAATGATGAAACATTTTCTACGAATTTATTTCTCTCATCATGTCCAATGAATTCTATTAATGATTATGAACGATGGTATGGACCAACAATAACTGATAAAGATAAAATCTGTCAAATCTTTGGAATAGATTCTGTCCATTCAATAGATAAATTAAATGCATTTAAAATTCCATCATCATCTATATTATTTTATAATTCACAAATAACAGATGATACAAGTACAAATAAAAAGAATTTAATACCATTTCTTAAAAATTTTTCATCTTCTATTGTTTGTAATCAATTAAATCATTTTCTTCATTCATTACGTTCAATAAAATCATTAACCGAACAAAATCTTATACGTCATGCATGTCAATTAGTTTCAAAAGCATTTATTAAAACAATAAAAAATTGTAAAAAAAATATTCAAAATGAATATTTAATTCATGCTCGATTTCAATATGAATGTACAAAACTTGAAAATACTTCAATGGCATTCTATCCAGTTGTTGCTGCTAATGGAAGGTAGGAGGTTTTTTATATATAATATCATCATTATCCTTCTTTTTATTTAGATCAAATATACTTCATTATCAAAATAATAATCAACCGATTAATTCAGATGATTTAATTATGTTAGATGGTGGTTGCTTATATAAACAATATGCAAGTGATATAACGCGATTTTGGCCAATAAATGGTTATTTAAATAGTATTTTTTGGAAAATTTCTTTTGAATATTTTTATTTTTTTAAGGTCGATTTTCATCATCACAACAACAACTTTATGAAATTTTATTAACTGTACAAAAAGATTTAATTAAATATTTAAATTCTGGTGATAAATTTATAACAAGAGGAAAATTAAATATATTAACAGATCAATATATGATTAAATATTTACGTGAAGAATTTATTCTTTCACGAACAATTGATGATGATCATGCTAAGCGAATTATTAATTATTTATGTCCAACAAGTGTTAGTCATCATCTTGGTAAATGAGGATCGTTTTCTTCACACATTGAAAGAATCATTTTTTATTTTTTTTTCATCAGGCTTAGATGTACATGATTGTGAATCGATATCGTTTTCTGAGAAACTCGAATCAGGAAATTTAATTACTATAGAACCTGGTAAAGATCGATATTTTTTAGTAAAAATATGTATATAATATTATCTGTCTAGGTCTTTATATTCCCTTGGATTGTACAGATGTTCCATCGATATATCGTGGTTTTGCAACACGATTAGAAGATGATGTTCTATTAACAGATCAAGGTTGTGAAGTTTTAACATCCATGTGTCCGAAAGAAATTAATGATTTATATCGATTACTCGATGAAAGAGATAATGCCGATATAGATTAATTCTATTTTTTTGTTATTATTGATTTAAATGTAATACACTAGGAAAAATCATATTATTAAAAAGAAATTGACTTCCTGTCTCTTCGTCAATAGAACATTTGTCATTAGAAAACGTGTAGGTGAAATTCGTGAATCGCGAAAATTTAGGTGATATTCATCTATCATATCGATGTTGATACACTTTATTATTATTTTCACTTCAACTACAAATAAACTAGTTTTTCAATAATTTTAATGAAGCATATATAAGAATCTTTCAACGTCTAAAAAATATTTTTAATAAGTAAAACTATATTCTTTAATGAACATATAAAAAAAAAGTCTGGTGCTGTTGCGAGCGAAAAGAAGAATAAAGTTTTAAAAAAAAAAGGTAACATTATGTCTCATATTGAAAGTAAACATATTGTTTTATCACAAATTATGTTTTACAACCATTATGGAATGTAATGTGTTTATATTGTATTGTTTATTATTTTTTGGTCTTCTTAGCTGCTGGTGGTATACGTGCAACGACTTTAAGTTCACGATATTGCATCTAAATATAGATAAGAATGATTTTTTTTACTGTTATTTATAATAAAAAATACTAACTAATTCAGGATCCGAAGGTAATCTTGATATAAAATCAGCTGCTTCATTATTATCAATAAAACCTTTCGGTTTACGGAAATATTTTGTAAATTTGTTAATAAAAAATGCAAGAATTAAAGCGCGAAGTGGAACATAATAAAGTAGAACCGAAACAAGAACAAGAGTAATCATAAGAAGATTAGATAGCCAAGGAATAGTAAAATTAAATACACTATAAGAAAATAATTTTTTTTTTAGATATAAATGTAATAAAATTTTCTCTATTACTTTTTAAGTCGTTCTAATGTTGAAGCAACACCATCAATAGTACCTTGTAATTCCTTAATTGTATCCTGAATACCTGCTATAGCACCTAAAAATGATTTCTTAGGTTCCTAAACAAATAAAAATAATTAAATATTTATATTTTCTTATTAATTTACCTTAGAATTAGGATCAACTTCTGCTACTTCATCATCTTCCGGAGATGGTTGTACAAGAGTCGGTAGTAATTCATCGCCAGTACCTGTAAAAGCAGTTCCAAGACGACCACTTCGATATTCGTTAATTAAATTTCGTACAAAAATTAACAAAAGTGAACAAGGTGCCATCCATAATTCAAAATTCCAAACCATAGTAAGTACTGCCTAAAAATGAAATATTTATTAATATAATATTTTAATCGTTTTAGTTCTTTTTTTTACCATAAAAGTACCGAAACTTAAATATGGATTTTCCCAATGAAAAGTATGATCGATGAATTTCATAACATTAATGAAACCTGACATCATATTTGTAATACGTGCTATGCTTTGTTTAATAGCCTTGAAATATATAAATATTAGAAGAAGAAAAAAAATAGATTTTGTTTTATAATTCTATATACATACACCAATACTAAATTTTTCATCTACTTGATAATATGCAGTTTGTCTTGGATTAATTGTTCGAATAACTGCTTTAAGCTAAAATTTGTAAATTACATAATCAATAGAAATTTGACTTAGCAAAGGAATTCAATATTTACTTGTGTATAAACAAATGTTGCTTCAATTTCAATAGCGCCTTTAACAGGTAAAAGACATTTTTGATCTTTTAATTGATACCATTTCTTTACACCATTTTTTATCTTAGAAAAATTTATAAAATAAATATATATATATATATGTATTTAGAGAAAGAGAGAAAACAATCTTACAGCTAATAATGGTATTGCAACTTTACCAATAAATTCCGTACTTTTATTTGTATCTTCATCAAAAATAGTTAATTCAACTACAGAATGAATATCTTGCGCTGGTATAACAAATGATTTACTCCAAACAGGATCCAATGTTTTATAAATAGTATGTGTACGTAAACGAGTTGAATCAAGTTCAACAATACAAAATGGATCCGATTTACCAGTAAGATCTTTTGAACTAATATCACGAGCTTGATAAACTATTTAAAAAAAAAGAATAATTAATTTGAAATAAAACAAAAATTAATTATTTACTTTTGATTTCAAGCTTGCCAATGTCAGTTATTGGATTCATTGATTTAAGTGTATTTAAAAAAGTCTAAACAAAAAATTTTATGAAATATTATTCAAAGAAAAAAAATATTACGAACATAATGATTTATATCTTTTTCGGTTAATTTTGATGGCATTGATTCAAGTGCAACATTAGTTGAACTATCACCATCACTTGTAGCTTCTTGTAATGCTGTTGTTTGTGTAATTGTCACGAATAATTCAATTACACCAGCATCATCTTCTAAATCAACGGGTATTCGATGTGTTCTTTCTTCATCCAAATGAGCTATATTACAAAGTCCACTAAAATAAAAAGTATTAAAATATACATTTAACCATTAAATTCAATTTATTTACCGGCCAACTAATTGTTCGGAACCACCAGTTTCATCGAAAACTATTAATTCTATTGGATGAAGATCACCAGCAAATGTATCATACATAAATGATTGATGCCATTGAGGATTAAGAGTTGATTTTATTGTCTAAAGAATGAAGTAATAAGTCATAAAAAACTGTTCGTCATACAATTTTCTTTCTATATATTACACATTGTTTATCTGTATATATGACTTACCGCACTGCGATTTTTTTTGTTTCCAAATTTAATTTTAATATAAGGACTACATGGTTTATTAACGCCATTTGGTTTTAATTTTCGTCCTTCAACTATGAAAACATCAATTGTACGTCGAGGTAATATAACTCCAGCATTTGTTGATCGACCACCAAATAAAGATTTCGTTTGCGATTGTTTTGCTAAACTACGAAGTACCTATAAATAAAAAAATCAAATAAATTTTTTTTGTCAAAAAGAAAGTAAGAATTTTTCTTCATACTTCATCACGAAATTCAACTGTTTTCGGTGTTATTGTAACACTAATTTTGAGTATTCCATTTTTTCCATCATTTCTTTCTTCATTTTCTAATTCAAGTGATGCATTATATAATCTTTCAAATGGTAATTTCCATAAATCCATTTTTACTGAACCCATTGATTCATCTCGTCCAATACGATCATGATCATATAGTTGAAAATAAAGTGGAACTGTTAAATCTTCTGTAAATATGGTAAATTTTTCATTCCATATAGGATTTAAACTTTTTGTAACAGTATTTGTTGTATATTTTTCTTCAGTACCATAAACTACTTTAACATAGGGATCACTTGAACCACCAATATCTTTAACAGCTAAATTACTTCCTCGTTCAATACAAATTTCAGTCCAATAAACTTGATCAGGATTATTTATTGGTGTTGGTGGTGGTGAATTAGAAAATATTGATGTTGCTTTTGGCATGACGGATTTTGCACGTTCAGTTAATGAGTCTTTAAATTTACTTAAATCTATTCGATTCGGACTTGCTGTTCGGTCAGCTTGCTTAGCTTGTTCAGCTGCCTTAAATTGCTTAGCTTGATCAGCTGGTTTAGCTTGATTAGCTGGCTTAGCTTGGTCAGTTGGTTTAGGTTGTTCAGCTGGTTTAGGTTGTTCAACTGGCTTGGCTTGTTCAGCTGGTTTAGGTTGTTCAATTGGCTTAAGTTGTTCAACGTGTTTAGCTTGTTCAGCTGGCTTAGTTTCTTTTTCTTCAACTGTCATATCTAAGGAGCCATTTAATATCATCGTCTTTACATTACCATTTGAAACCTGTGTTATTATTTGGGTAACCGGTTCTGATGAAGTCCCATTAGTTTCAGCAGCCGATATATTACGGGTACTTTCACCTGTAGACGATAGTTGAGTCTCCTATACAGAAAAAAAAAGAAAAATGCTCGATATATTGAAATATTTATTAAAACAGTCACCTTAATGCAAGAACAGAAAAGTTTCATAATTACGAAAATATTATGATTATTAGGATAATTCATAATTTAAAAACAAAATTAGTTTATTATAATTAATATACATAATTTAGTTTCACTAGAAGGTAATTTTCTTCTATGCAATTTGATTTCTACTCAATTGATAATATAAATGTTTAGATTAGTTTAAAATGCGCATATTGAAAATGCAACAGATGATTATTTACAAGAAAAAAAGAAATCTATTTTTATCAAATATATAGCATAGCAGAGAAGAATGAAAATATAAAAGAAAATATCATTATCATCATCATATTTTCCATTTTACACAGATGTTATTTTCTATTCAATTCTATTATATTATTTAATAGCCTAATGTCATTTTCACTGGTAGGAAAATTAATATGTGTAAGTTAAATCTTACATTATCTACATGAATATATATTTTCTTATTATTCTAAAATTTCTAATAATTTTTTGTCGTAAAAATCAATACTTACGTTATTGTCCATTACTAATATATTTTGTATTTATTTCGTTTTAACCTCTAGCGTCTGCACACGAGCATTACAACGTAAGCATAATAAATATATGAAACAAAATCGATCAAGCGAATCTTTATTTACCATGATTGTGTACAATTATACTTTTGACAAAAAAACAAGTTGCATAGTTTTGAGGCTTACTTGTTTTGTGTTTAGTTAGTCGTACGAAAAGCAATTCGTATTGATACAAATATATATAAAAATCGATGTATACGCAATCGATTTTTCTCAATGACAATAAACATAATAAATCCTTATAATATGATCAAGTATTAGTACATTATGTTTTTAACAAACAACTAATTTTTATTCTTTTCTTTTTGAAGGTTAAAATGACTTACTGAAAAAAAACTAATCGATCGTTTTGATCGAAAATTATTATTGTTATCATCATCATTCCAATTTGATGGTGTAGTTAAACGATATTTACGAGTTCCAATAATATGTGATTTAACTTGACTAAGTAAAGATAAACGATGCGAAAATGCAACTTGTGGTTTTTTTGTAGACTGGTTTGATACACGTTTTTTTATATTATCAATATTTTCAAATGATTGATGTTTCGAATGAGATAATGAAATAGATGAAGATTCATCAGTTGTTGATGTCGTTGTTGTTGCTGCACGAAATCGAGATGAACTTTTACCACGTAATCTAGTACGAACTTGACGTAATAATGAATGTGATCGACTATTATTATGAGCAGATCTACATTCAGAATCTGTACTTTCACCAGACATATTGTATGAAAATAATATTGGCTAAAAAATAATAGTACATTTAATTATTTGAAAATATAGAAGTTTCTGAATAAAATAGTTATAGAAGAAGAAAAATACGTTACTCTTTTTTATTAATTCTAATACGACTCATGTTTCGTAAATACATTATAATGTTTTTTGGGTAAAAACGGAAAATTATCTCGATTTCTTATTGTTAAAAGAAATTTTATTTCTATACTTTATTACTAACATTAAATGAACATTTAAATATAATAAAACTAAAATTTACCTTTAAAATAGTAAATGACAATCAAAAGAATTGTACTAATAATGTACATGCAATCGGTGCATGTTCATCGCTAGTATATGTATGTATATATATACTCGTTATCTTATATAATCATTGCTCATTAAATAAAACTTATACTTCTAGTATTAATATAGAATGAGCAACAATTTTGTATCGTAACTATTTATTTTTATCATTAGTGTCTTTTACTGATGTCATATATTTGAATTACAAATCAATATTGATTTGTTGAAAGAACAACCTTTATCTTTTTCTTAAGTAAAGAATGAAGTAGTCGTCTTATACTATGTAATTCAATTGTGGTCCCGAAAAAGCAACAGAATAACGACGAATTGAAAAGATTAACTTAATTCAAAATGATTATGTCAATTGAAAATGTTTTATTTTTGATTTTATATACATCTCAAATAATGACATTCGATCCTTGTTTTTGATTATATATTCAAATGTCATATACTCACTTTTATCATGATCTTTATTTGTAATGTTTTTTGAGTCAAAAGAAAAATGCCAAAAAATTATTATCAATCGATATATAAATTAAAATCTTTGATTAATAAAGTATTCATTGGTATATAAAACATGTTCTGGTATCGATGTGCTGTTATTCTATAAAGAAGAACTGGAAAATGCAAGAAAACAAGAAGTTTCATATTAGTATAGAACGATATGTTTTTTTGATCATAATATAAAGATAACTCATTTCTTTTCTTGTTCTTCTGTTCTGTTTTTCTCATCTGAAGAACACATATAATAATAACATCGGCAATAAAGCAAAAAATACGACATATATTGATATTTATCGAAGACAAAATCTGTAAAGCATATTGTTTAGTTAATTGTCACGCGTCGATCAATAATAACTTAACACACACGGAAATAAATAAATAAACAGAGAGCAAGATAAATCACGTGTTAGCAGCGTGTCCGCTTACTGCAGATTATTCATCAAAATATCGTAAATCATATGTTTTTCTTTGTTTTCTTGACTAACATCTGTATGTTTTTGAGAGATTTTATAAACATACATAATAATAACAAAAGAAGAAGAGTTAAATTAATTCTATGTACAACTCAATTTCTACTGACTTCTATTCTTTGTAGTCTATCTAAATAATTGTCATTATCAACTATTACTCAATTAAATATTATGTCATATTATAATTTTCTAAAGTTCGATTTAAATAAGAAAATAAAACAAAAAAAAACATCTCGTCAACAACGATTTATGAAAATAGCTTTACGTAGTTTTATAATATGTATAAATTGTTTACGTTTTGACGTTTACCTATTGAATATAGAATAAATTACTAATAAAATTTAATTATCAATGGATTGATTACGTCATAATCTTTTATTCGAGTAAATAATTTTCAAAAATAAGAGATCTTTCTATTGAATTTAATGAGTAGAATAACATCTCTGAGGTAAAAGGATTAATTCAAGAATATGATATTATTTGAAACTAAGTTTTAATTTAATGATTTTTAAAAGTCGTCTTACCGATATATCTTTGAGAGAAAAAAAAGATGAATTTCTCTTCTAAATCTATAAACTATGACTTACTTGATTCAAACACTAACAGAACGTCTAAATACTTCAGTTTTACTTTTAACTGAATGTTATCCGTAAAAATAGCAACGACGTCTGTTCCAGATTGACAAACAACAAGTAAAACACGTCCACCACTATCATTTTCTTTAATTATTTTTGAAATTAAATCTGTTGCACAACAAACTTTAATTGAAATAATCATTTCTTAACGTACAGGACATGTTAGAAAACTGTGTTATTGAGACTAAGAGTGTAAATATATCTTGAAAAAAGGAAATTCAAACAAGAAAATAATTATATTTCAACAGAATTTCCATTAATATTCATATTATTAAATACAGCATCTTCAGCGACACTGGTATCATGATATTAAAAAATAGCTTGATGACACGTTTATTAATAAAGTATATTATTAGTACAGATATCTTTCAAGCAAAATATTTAATCAATTGTAAAGTTATAACTTATTTCTTTGTGTTTGTATTAGTTGCCGGCGCTGTTTGTTGTTGTGGAATATTGGGTGGTGAAGATTGTAGCATTTTTGTAGCTAATGTAGCTCCAACAAGAACAGCACCGCCAAGTACTACTACACGTACGGCTGTTCTACCTATGAATCGAAGCATGATTCAATCAATAAAAACAGTTGTTGAAGACGTAGGTTTATATGAAGTCCTGAAAAAAAGGCACAATTAAAATAATAAACAAAGTATGTTATTAAATATTATTTTAATCAAAACATTCGAAACAATTTTCTTCTCTATAATAATTTCTTGTAAAAACAATTTTGTGTTTTCTATCTCTTGTCAATAAATGGTTGTAATCAATTCTTTTGTTTATATATTGTCTCAATAATTTCATCCTCAATAGCTTCGAGCATCTATACATTCAGACATATGTATCATATACACATTTTTTTCTTCTTCTTCTTTCTATTCTTAATCATACTTGATACATAGATTAGTTTTTTTGTTGCATGCATGCATTTTTAAGTTCGATTACTACGCTTGATTGCATACGCTTTTACTAGGTGAGCAAAGACAGAAAAGAACAGTAACACCTGGTATATTCATCCAACCGAATATATTTATCTTATGTATACACGTATATATATATATATTTGTCAAAAGAGCAGAACAAAAAAAAAGAAAAAGAAAAGCGAAATAATGATACAAAAGTTAGTCGATGTCGCTACCACTGCATCCATTTTTTGCTGATGTAGTTGCAATAAACATCGGATAATTTTTTTCATAATTTTTAAGCATTTCATTTAAAAATGTTTGAAAAACATCTACAGCAGTTGTTATAGCCGGTGCACCAAAACCATGTGTTATAAGAGAAAATCTTGATAATGAATGTTGAACAGATGGATCAAGTGTAGGCGGAATTGTAGATAAACGATGATGAGATATAAGTGATGAACTAGATGTATGTCGAGAATTTGTTGAACTAGTATTATTACTTGTTGATGATGCAACATTAACAGGTGATCGATCTTGTTTAAGTAAATCACTAAATTCTTGAACTAATTGTCTAAAATAATACGAAATATATTTATATAAATTTAAAATTAATAGAAATATTTACTTAGCAGCTAATATCATATTTCTTCGTGTACTTATTTCATTTGGATCTGAATAATGTCGTGCTACATAATCAGCAGTAATTTCAACAGGAAATTCAGCTTCACATACTGTACGAAAATCCATCGCTAATTGATTTGCTTCTCCTGAAATACAAAAAAAAATGAATCAAAAAACAAAATTTTGTAAATTTTTTACCTTCAACAAGAGAAGTTAATAATGTTGTTGTGGATGTTTTACGTCGACCTGCTTGAAGATTAACTCCAATTTTTTCTAATTTATTGCGTAAATCTCGACCACCATTCTTTGATTTAGCTCTAAAAAATAATAAATTCAATATTATGCTTATAAGTATAACTGATGTTTACCGTCTTAAAACACCACCAAGTAATGATGCGTTGAGATTTTCTGGTGGACCAAGACGTCGTTGAATTTCACCAATTGTTACTCGATATTTTGATGATGAACTTAATAATGCTAATCGTCCCGGTACTGAAAAAAACAAAAAATCTACTATAGAATAATAATAAAAAAATAAAACAATTTTACCTTGACAAAAGAAATCCGTTGGTGAAAGTGATCCATTACCATTTCCTGAACACATGGAAGAAAATGAACTTGAATCTCTAGATGGATCAGATCGCCGACTATCTATTCAAAAAAAATAAAATAATTAATTCAACAAAAAAGAAAATATTTTCATTGATTAATGTACCTCTACTTGTTGGTGATCTATGATAAGGTGATTCACTTGTTTGTAAGTCATTTCCGCTATTAAGAATCTGAAAAAAATTAATTAAATATTTGTTTCGGATGAATACACTACATCAAAAAAAAAGAGTTGAACTTACTCGAGATGTATGGTCAACGAGTGAATTAGTTGATGTCTGATGATGTTGTGAATGACGAGAATAAAGTTCTGCTGCTGCTGCTTGTTGATGATGAACATCAAGAATTGTATGATGATGACGTGCATAAGCAGTTGCATATGGATCATAAGATGATGTATTAAATGTATTACTATTTGGATTTGAATGTTGATGATGAATATTTGTCGATGTTCCATAAGATGATGATGACGAACTATTTACTGCTGCATAATTAAATGTTGGATAATGTTCAATACCATTTGTTCCTGAATGTACATCGAATTGAGCAGCAAATGCTGGATTAAATGGTGGTGGAAAATAGGGAAATGATGGGTCAGTAGTTGTTCCAATACGAGAATTTGTTGAATTACTAAATGGTCCTCCACCAACGGAAGATGGTGAAGATGATGATGTTGGTGATGATGCATATTTTGTATCCTATAATAAATTCATTAATATAATTAAGAAGAAGAATTAGAAAAACTAGCTAGTTAATATAATGAATTGTTTTGTTAAAGAATATATGAGACATGTTTATATTTTCATAATACATAAATGAATGAAAATAAAATTGTCTTTCTTTAATTTACTCGACCCTAAAGGCTATTTGATAATAAAAAAACAAACTTACATCGATCTGTATACCACTCCCACTGCCTGAATCAATTAGATCAAATGCGGATGGCATATGATGATGATGTTGTTGAATTTTTTTTTCTTCTTCTTCTTCTTCGTTCTCAAAATCCTGCGGCAGTTCGACAGATGACAATAATAAATACCCGAAGCAAAAATATGTCCAGATGATGGAATTATATGACACACAACGATTCGTTGTTTTTATATTTTATAGCTAACGGCCAGAACTTATATATTAGAAAAGAAAAAAGTCAACCTGTATTGATAGGAAAGACAAAATAAATAAATAGAGAGATATATATATATTATATTAGATAGAAATAGACACATACAAATTCCATATATGTATAGTGAGCTAAGTGTACTTCTTCTTCTTTTTTTTTCTCTATATGTGTGTGCTCGTTCTATGTTTTCGACCAATCATGCCCTCCGGCACAATATTAACTCTTTCAAGCCAATCGGGAAAAAATTTTCTGTTTGTTCGGTTATCAATGATTGGATGAACGATTTTTCTTCTTTTTCTTTTCTCTTGCATCTAATCTAATCCTAGTGAATAAGGGGGGAAAAAACTAGCTATTACTAATAAACTCATCTCATCATCGAGCAACGTTAATGTGGTGGGTGAGAGTGTTACAGACTTTGTCGTTCTCTTTAAACGATCTACTATTACTCTCATCATCCATCATCAATTCCGGTTATTAGTAGTAACAAACCAAAAAAAAAAAGAAAGAAAAGAAGCAGCTCACAACTAAACTAATATCCGGGTTAACGGTCAGCATCCGCAAACAAGTAGAAAATATAGTACTACCGGAAAATGTGAAATAGAGGAATCATTTAAGTGATAACAACATTCATATTTATTTCTATATACAAAATACTTTTTAATTCACGAAAAATCAAACACTATTATGATGTAATATATTGATATTTGATTGTGCTTAACGAAGCTTGACATAATGTCACGCACGATGACATCTTCACTATGTTTTTCTTTTTCTTTTAATACTATAACACATTAGGAAAAATGATTTTCACGCCTAACCAACAACACCATCTTCTTCTTCTTTAGATAGATAGTTTTATTACTGACAATGAAAGAAATAGATATTCGTCTATGTAGTTTATCGACTTTCTATCAAAATACCCTCTAGCATCATATAATTCAAAGAAAGTGTGGAAGATTATTATCTATTTTATTATAAAAAGTGCGATGTTTCCAATTGACAACTTTATTTTAATGTGTACAATCTCTTGACATATTTTAATAATTATGATTATTATTATTATTATTTTTTTCATAATGAGTCAATATTTGAAAAAGAATAAACTTACTTGATGATATGGTAGAAGAACCATTTTCTTTTTGTGTTATTGCTTGTATATGTGATATAGCTTTAAGTTATGTTTAGAAATATAAATGTATGTTTTTCTTCTTCTTCTTCTTTTTCTTCTTTCCTTTTTCGTATCAATATATTCATTGGTCAAGATATTTAATGATTCTTTCTTCTATTGGAGATATTAACATTGTTTACAGTTCATTATCATCTAAAACACTGATGAGTTGAACAAATTCTTGCAACAATACAGCTGTTACTCATGTTTGAAATTCATTCTGGGAAAAGATTATCAATCATTGCCTCCCTCCCGATCAATAAGCGCCCCTTTCACTTGTCGAGTAGCTCATTGAAACTAGCTGCTACTGGTGTATATTATATGCCGACTTTATTTGTCGACAATAAGTGACTCTCTAGTTTTTTGATAATGCAATCTCACAATTGATATTGAAGAAAAAAAAAAGAAGAGGGAAAGATCGAACCACTTAATGGCGACAATAATTTTGAAACAAAAAAAGAACCTCGAGATTTGATGATTGATTGAAAAATAAAAAAAAATAATGTGTGAAATATAATCATCGATAGCTCTCTATTCAAGACAAAACACCTTTCATAGCTCGTGTCTGAGAGAGAATAAATAATATTTTAAAATAACAATTAATACTAAATGATTATTTTTTGTTCTAATCACACATATACACATTGGGATTCAATATGTACGTACTCCACCTTTTAGCTATTGGCGTCAACTGAAGAAAAAACACAAAAAAATACCGATGACATATTTTGCCAATTTAACTCCAAAAACATTCTTTGGACAATATAATTATATAGATAGTATTTTCTCCTGCTGTGCACATGCCAGCTCACATTCTTTTACTTTTGATCTTGAAGAAATATGACATCATATATATGATTATGTCGTTTTTGCCTTTTAATCAAATCAAATTGTTCGTATGTATACATTTGACTTTTCTATCAACAAGTATCTTGCTGCGATATATTCATGCCGCGCTTATGCTATCATTCTTTTGATACTACATATATATTTAATGAGTTCTTCTCTCAAGTATTTTGACTCTTATACATTACAAGAAAAAAACAATTCCTTGATGATTAATTGACACTATAAGATATTATCTAAATTGAAATAGACACAAGTTCGATTGAATTATTTGACCCGACGATGACGATCTATAGATATTATTTTTATATCGACACAATGATATGAATTAATTCATGCATAAAATTTCATATGTGTACACATGTATGGTTGCATTGAAAAGATACAAAATAGATGAAACCTGTAATAGTTTATTCTAGATGTTAGTGTGTATACGGACGAATGAATCTCTTTTTAAGATATTATTCATTGTTTGATAAGGAGAAGAAAAAAAATTATTTTTCTTAATAGAAGTCGAGTAATGCATGCCGCGCTCGAAAGACATATACACATCTGGAACATTTGATAGACTTCCTTCGTTTGTATTTTGTTCTGATATGAACGAAACAAATCATCATATGAAAGTTAATTCGTTATATTCAATTACTCAATATGTTGTTTTGTCTATTATGGATTACATTACAGTTGTAACCATATCGGCTGATTTACAAAAAAAAAGTTCTTTTATTCAAAAACTTGTTATTCTTGTTTCGTTCTGTTATGTCTACAGTTTATTGATTTTTGATTAAAAATACAGTGAAAAGCGTGTTATGTAAGACAAAAATTCTTGAGATTTTTGTTTGAGAGTATATGAATTATCCATTCCGATACAATTGAGACTATGTGATAAATTAACTAATTTACAATAACGTATATAGTCTATTCAGTTTTTAGAAATATTTATCATCAAATACTACTACATAATCTAATGAAATGATGGTCCCACGTGATAGAATGTGTAAGACATCGTGTTTTCGTTCGAATGAATGACTGTAGTTCTCTTATTTTTATTGAAGAACTTTTTTGTAAGGAAAATTATCAGCATTGAATTTTACAGATAATTTTAATCGAAATTAATTTGGAAAGAATGTATTTAAAGTTTAGTTCGTATTATTCTGCTTTTATTTCATCGGTAGTGAATAAAATGAAATTTTCTTGAAACAATTAAATTACAAATACAATGGATGTATTCAACTAGTTTATTATCGATAGAATTGCTGAAGTCAAAAAAATTGTATTCTACAATACATTATACTACCAACAATCAAAATCAAAAATTTCAATAATATTGTTAAACAAAATCGATATAGTCTAATCCTAAATTCAGTTTATTCTTGTTTCTATAAGCTAAATCACTATTTCTTTTATAGAAAAGGCTACTCTTAGTTAGAGCCCGTCGGGTCCGGATCAGAAGAAATATGTCATCGACACAATATTTTTTTTAATTTTTTATGCATTTTATTCAAAAAAGTCATGAATTTATTTATAAAAATAAAAGAAAAACAACAACAAAACTATTTTCGAAGCAACTATCAGATTTCAAATAGAAAAATTTACTGACAGTCTAAAAGTACAGTTCGAGTTCAGGCTAGTGCTCATCAGGTTCGGGTTCGAGTCCAAAAAATTGTGGACCCGACGGGCTCTACTCTTAGTACATCTGATGGTTATTTCTTACTAGTTTTTTTTATCATCGAATGGTCTTAAATATATTTGACAATTCTCAAATTCTATCTGATTATTTACGTGTTTGAATAAAGATATCTTAAATAAAAATCTTTTCGAAAGAAATTCAAATTTAAAACTGGTGTAACTATATAAAATTGTGTTATAAAGTTTTAGGTTTGCGTATTGTGAATAAAATAGATTAGCAATCTATTGCCATGAGCAATCAGTTTACCCTTTCGGGACAGGTGGATACTATAATGGCCAGTGCTCGGAAAATGCTTCCGATATCTAGATGCATACCATTTTCTATTTTTTATATTGTAACTGCTATTGCTCGAGGCAGCTATACAGAGGACTCTGTTTGTGTGGTAACTATATAGGGAAAATAAATGAAGTTCGATAAAATAAAGACTAACTAAATTTGAGTATTACAGTTCTGTTGAAAAGAATCCCGTTCTAAAAAGGTTAATATGTAATACATAACATATTTTCAAGAAATAACTATTTGAAATTTGATTGTCTATATTTTTTAAAAAAGTTCCTTATTGTATAGAAAAATAAAATAACAAACAAAAGTACTGAAAAAAATTGTAAAAGGATTTACTATTTTATTTAGTATATGTGAATTAATAATGATAGATTTGAGTATCAAAAAAGATGATATTAGTTTACAATCTTTTGAGATAAAGATTTATCATTTTTTCTATTTGAATAATAATTCATATAAATTCCATTGATCACAATCTATTTTAAAATTACTGAAATTACTCATATGTTTGCATATTAATCAATTTTTTAACATCTGTTCTTTCATATAATTATAATCCAATATTTTTTACTATTATCTATTTTAACTGCTGCATATTTATCTTTGAGCCGCCATGGTTGAGTGGTTACGTTGTTCGACACGTATCCACAAGGTACTGTGTTCAAACCTCAGTAACATCATCCATGGAATGACCCTGGACAAGTCACTAACGGCTAAGTTGTCTCAAATGACTCATTCCACATGAGTCATTCATACTGGTTATCTTTAGTCAGTATGTTGGACGGAAGAGGGTGCAGATACCGCCGTCTGTAAAAAGAAAAAGACGACAGAACCCGGCTGCATGTGGAAAACTCTAATAATAACCGCGGCCGGCCCCTAAGGGCGATAAGCCTATGGGACGTTATTATTATTATTATTATTATATTTATCTTTGAAAATACAGTGATTGTTTAAAAATGTTTACTGGCAATTGCCGTCTGTCTTGCTTCATAAAGTCTATACGATATTTTTCTAATTAGTAAGATGAAACATCAGTTCTATTATTTTCGATATTTAATTCGATTTGCAGTATATCTGCAATAATTAATTGATTCTATATTTAAAAAAAGAAAACCCTGAAATTGAACATAAAGTATGAGCATATATTTGGCTTAATACGACAAGACACACTGTTTCAAAATACATATTATGAATTAAAACAAAGAAAAAAAAATCAAGAAATAAGTTAAAAATTTTTCAAATACTATATTCTCTCGATGTTGTACTAGTTGCTGATGAATGATTTGGAGGTGATGGTGGTGTATCAATTGAATCATAAGGTAAATAAGATGATTGTAAACCAACAATAGGACGTCGTGTTAATGAATGAACGGTTTTCTTTAAATTATAATGATTTGATGATGATGATATTCCAGGTGAATTAAATGTTTTAAGTTGTTGTGGTTGAGAATGTTCAACATTAGTATCAGTACTTGATTGATGAACAGGTACAATATTTATTTTATTCGTATATATAGATTGTTGTCGTGGTGTCGGAACAGCATAATCAACACTAGTTGAACTAAGACTTGACGATCGATGTTGTTGTGTAAGAAGTGGTCGTGCAACACCTTGTACATTTGAACTTGATCTTGATAAATCATTACTTCCGTAGCAACTATCTTCTGAACTAGCAGCACTGCCTGAGGCTTTAATATCTTCGTATGGTCGATGATAATGGTGTCCAGTCAATTTCTATAAGAAAGAAACGAGATTATGCAACTTAATAAATATGAAACCATGCATAAAATATGCCCGTTATGCTTGCTTTATTCGCTGCCATTTCCCTTCGGATCATTTCAAGTTAATTGGCTACGATATGTGAGAGATGCACTCACACATCAACACTTTTCACGACTAATTTCCGTGATGTCGAACAAGAAAGAAAGAAAAAGCTAATCGCTGTAAAGAAGTATTTTCTTTACATGAAACATTGCGCAATCGAAACTTTAATTCAATCTATTTCAAAAGTTATTATATAAAAAAATTCTAATTTTGATTTGCTTTTTCTTCCCTTAGATTATTAGCAATTATTTTGATTGAAATAATAATCTAACATTGGGATTAGAAAAGAATGAAGATACTTACATTGATTCTTTTTTTCTCTCTCGAAGGATTAGAAAAACTACTATTTAAAAGGTATGAAAATAGTTTCAAGGAAAAGCAAACACCAGAAGATTACAAAAAAGGAAAAGAATAGAGAATGACCTTTAAAAGAAATTATATGACATGACATAACTCGTGAGTCAGCTTACTTTGTTTGTTGATAAGAACGTATTAGTATTATTTGTTGAAAGAAGTTTGTCAGCATCCGATGATTGAAGTAATTCACACGGCGTTTTTAATGATGATCGATGTATATGATGACATCGTTTTTGTTTACAAAATACAGCACAAAAAATACCCATTGTAATACTAAATACGAGTGTAAATATAGATGAGATAATAACAACAATGACCATTTCATTTGATATAGTTTGATCATCATTAACTAATTTTTTATCTATTAAATTATCTTTTGAATAAAATAATGTATTAGAATTTTCACCAATTTGAATATTTAATATCGTTGTTGAACATTTTTGTTCTAAATATTCACCTTGATCACAAACTTTTATTGTTAAACGATGATGACCTTGCGGTAAATTAATTAATTTTGCTGTTATTGTTCCATTAAAAGAGTTAATTTGAAAATAATTATTTTCATTATTATTAATAATTTCATATGTTAAATTGCCATTTTTTCCTGAATCACGATCTCGCGCAATTATTGTTGTAATTAAAATTATTTCAGAGATATTTTTTTGTAAAATTTCATTTGAAATATAAATCGATGATGAAGTATCAATAATTGGTGAATTATCATTAATATCAAGTAATTCAATTGTAACTAATACATCATCAGAATAAAATATATCATTATCTTTAGCAGTGATATTTAAATGATATATTGGATGAGTTTCATAATCAAGTAATGCTTTTGTATGTAATTGACCAGTTAAGTAATCAAGATAGAAGATATCTTGATACTCCGAAGATGATAACTCATAATGAATTGTTGAATTTAAATCAGAATCAATTGCTTTCACTTGACCTATTAATGTTCCAATAGGAACATTTTCAGCTAATTGAAATACATATGATTTTTGTTCGAATATAGGGATATTATCATTAATATTATTGATATGAATAATTAATGGTTGAATTGTTTCTAATCGTTTAGGATTAGTTCCGTGATCAGATATATTTAATATTAAATTATAAATAGATTTTGATTCATAATCAAATGAGATATTTCCAACGGAAAGTATTCCGCTTTGAGAATTTATATGAAAAAATCGAGAATCATTTGAAGGTAGAAGTGAATAAGATAGAAGACTATTTGATGTATTGGGTGCATCAAGATCTCGAGCATGAAATTGAATTAAACGAATATTTGAAGGATTATTTTCATTAATACGAATAGGTGTTGGAAAAGGATCAAGTATTGGTGGAGAATCATTAATATCGATTAAACTAATTGTTATATTTTTTTGAATTGTCAACGATCGTTCTGCACCTAAAATTTTAAAATAAATCCTAAGGTTAAACAAAAAAAAGAGAAAAGATTTTAAAAGTAAAATTATCTAACCTTGGTCTGTTGCCTCAAAAATTAATTTATATTCTTCTTGCTGTTCTCTATCAAGTCGTCCAATAATAATTAAGTTGTATAAATCATTATATTGTTCATTTAATTGAAATAAATTTTGATATGTTAATAATTTTAATAGAATTTTATTATTAACTGAATCTTTATCACTAACACTTAAATGAAATAAACGTGTATTTATTTCTTTTTCTTCTTCAATATAAAAAATATTTTTCTGTGGATTACTATCTGGTAATATAAAATCAATATCCGGTGGACTATCATTTACGTCAAGTATGTCAATTTGTACTTGAGTATAGACACTCACTGCATCAGGTCCATTATCTCGTGCTCGAACACTAAAATGATAATTTGTTTCATATTCATAATCTAATAATTGAATTAATTTAACAATCCCAGTTCTTATATTAATTTCAAACGGAAATGAAGAAGATGGATTATCAGTAATAATTGTATAATTAATTAAAGCATTTAAACCTTCATCTTTATCATCAGCATGTATTTGAAAAAGTTCAGTACCAATAGTTGTATCTTCTTTTAATTTAATATGATATTGTTCATGTTCAAATTTAGGTACATTATCATTTGAATCAAGAATATAAACATCTAATAATAATTCACCTGTATGTTCACCATCACTAGCTAAAATTTTCATTTGATATAAATTACGTTTTTCTCGATCAAGAGATTTTAATAAACGTAAACCAAGTTGATTTTCAGTTTGTAAATTAATAATTGAAAATGTTTCAAGAAGTTCTTGATTATTTGTTTTATCAATTGGTACAATACGATATTCTAAATGATCTTGATAATCTAAATCAGTTGCTGATGGAAATGAACTAACATGTCCAATATCGGTATTTTCTGATAAACGTATTTGAAATGTTGATACAGGAAATATTGGTTGATTATCATTAATATTTTCAATAACTATATCTAATGATAAAATATCAACTGTTTGTGATGATGCTATTAATTCTAATGTTAATAAACAACGTTCACAATTACATGTATGTGTTTGACATAATTCTTCTCTATCAATCATACGTTTTATAGATATACGTCCTGTTAATGAATCGATCATAAAAAATGAATTATGTGGACTTGAATCTGATAAAAATGAAAATTGAATGGTATTTTTTGATGATGATGATGAATAAACACGGCTTAAATCATATATTGATGTTCCGATTGTACTTTGTTCAAGTAAAGATATTGATGGTAAACGTTGAATTGCTGTATGAATTGGTTTAATAATATTAAGTAGAATAAATAATAAAAATAGACTTATCGACATTGTCATTATTAAATCTATATGACACAAAAAAAAAAAGAAAAGGAAACATTTAAAAGAATAAAGTTATACTTTTCTTTCCAGCAAGAAAAAAAATGAGAGAGAGAAATTGACTGCACTCAAGAGAAAGGAAGAAAAAGAAAATTCATTGACGTTTTTATATTTATAAACTAAAGATTTTGATGAATAATCAAGTATTATCTTAGTCTTACGATCTTATCAGATGAACATCTATATATGCGCTTCATCCAATTTTCGAAAAACTAATGACTGATCATACACAAGTGTGAACGTTTCTTATATATTACAATGATCTTTCTTTCTTTCTTTCTCTGGTTTTGCGCGCTTGTAAATAAGTCTGAGAACAAAGAAAAAAAAATGATGAATGTATATTATATACTCCTAGTACAAAGTAACTTCCTGTCCGGAAGATTGACTATATATGTGAATCTGAACTTTCCTGTACGTTTTCTAACTATTGAAGACAAAGTAAAGATTAACCGATGATGATGATGATTGATTTTTATGTGCGGCCGACGAATATTAAGAGAGTGACAAATGAAACGTCAAACAATATTAAACTTACAATAATGATTTTGTAATAGAATCGAATTAACGACGACGGTAGTAGTAGTCTCACGAAATCTGAAACTTGATCGACAGATAGACAGTGTCAATTCCTCTTATTAGATTATGTAAAAACTAAATCTATCTATTAGAAGACAACCATCTTAATTGTATGCCATACAATAATCAAGGAGACCACATGTATATACACACTTCTCTCCTTACGACGATAACTCAATGCTAACGGTATAAAATCTGTCTGATCAATAATGTGCACATCGTTTGTCACTTGATTAAGAATATTTGATGTATTCATGTAGACATAAATTCGATAGTGTCTAGGCGATGAGATACTGACATTCGAATTATTAATTTCGAATCCTATACATACATACAATGTACACATACATTTTACACTAGCCAAATTAAAGTTCAGGGACAACATGACATACATACATGTGTACATCGTAGATGAATTATTTCATTTTCACATGAGATACGTCTTTCACGCCTAATTTACGCATACGTGATGAGCAAATCGTATGCAATGAATAACCTAAACCTACTTATATATATATACATATGTATAAAGACAGACATACTTCCATTTCTAATTGAAATGTACAAAAAAAATGTATATTAATGATAATGATGTTTATCAAAAAAAACAC